TCACTAGGACAACTGGGAGGGATTAGCCAGGCGTGTTGTTTCCAGTTAATTTAGGGGTACAGAAGTTCCACCGAGCTTCAGGTCCCTCCAAGGATTATCACCAAGAATCATCAGCCCTGTTCACCCTAATAAAGCTTGAAGTTGCAATCCCCCCTGCTGCCCACACTGCTGTCACAACGGGCTTATCCGCAGCCTTCTGGTTGCCACATCCAGCCACTGAATCCCAGCTTTTCCTTTGCAGAAGGATAAAACAGTGCCTTTACCAAATCTGAACAAACATTGACAGGCTCTTTTGAGATATCTGAGGCAATCTCCGAGAGCCTACGTGGTGCCATTAAATAAGATATGATTTGTATTTTACATTTTATATTTTAGAAAGAACAAATATTTTCCAATGATTTAGGTCCCTCAATTCCTCGTTTGGATACACTGGTAAAAAAAAAAAAGAACGTATATATATATATATATATATATATATAAAAACATACACACAAATATATATATAAATGCCTACAGTAGATTCTTTGGGCTTGTAAACCTTAAGTCCCAATAAAAGTATCATACATTTCTAAGGCCATGTAGACTCCATCGACACCTGAAGAAAAAAGCAAATGGTGATTTCTTGAGAACACAGAGAGATGGAGAGCTTGACAGAAAGGTCTCTGAGCAGTGGGCAGTAGAAGTGTCAGGACAGGGCAACACCATGTGGTGTCCACCAATACCATCCAGAAAAGGGGATAACCCAGAGCTACATGAAGTCACACAACTCTCACATTTCAATGCAGGAGGGGAGAACCTCGGGGTCTGCCAAGGCCCTTTTACCATGCCCAGTCATGACAACCTGGTGTTTCCTCTTGGCTCCACCTTCTCAGCCAGAGAGAAAAGCCAGCGAGGCTGTCACCTCACTGCATCATTTCATAATCTCAGGTCCCTTTATTCAACCCAGGTGCTGCAAACGGCGGGGGGATGTTCCGTAAGCCCTGCAGAGCCCAGCCAGACCCCCCGGCCGCGGTGCACAAAAGCACAAAGCCCTGCGCGGATGCTGCGGGAGGAGGTGCGGGGGCTCTGCCCCTGCAAGGGCTGCCCGGCAGCAGGGCCGGCACCGCAGCTGAGCCGGCACTGAGCATGTGCCGCCCATCCCGCGGCTCCAGCTCCGAAAACAACCCCCAGGGCCGGGGGAAAACGCCTGGGGCGGCAGGAAGAAAAGAGAGAGGGCTGCCGGGCTGGGGGAAGCGAGCCCTGTTTCTTTTCATCCCAAGGATTTGGTTGTTTGTTTAATCTTCCCAAGGGGGGGATGAGCCCCCGGGGCATCAGCCGCAGAGGATGCAGCTGCTCTGCCTTCAGCACGGATCGGCTTTTGCTGAGAATAAAGAAGGAAATAATGAAGGAAGCAAACAAGACTCATTCCTTAATTTAAGGATTTACTTGTCCTTTTCCTCCTGCCTTTCCAGGCTACTCTCTGTTCCTGCTGCACGTGCTACAGGCGATGGGGAGATGAGGAGCTGCTCCTGCAAGGGCGGCTGGGCGAGGCTCAGCCCTGACCATCCCTTGGCACACAGCGCCCTATTCTCCTCCCTCCTGCCACAGCACTGCTTTCCCGTGACTTTTTACCCCCTGGAATTGTTTCTCTGCTTGATCTGAGCCACAAGGAAGCACGGTTTCACGCTTCTTCACGATCCCAAGCCTCCCTTGACAGCAAACCCGCATCTTTGGGAAGACGAAATATGCTACGGGCATGTGGTGGGTTGGGAGGGCGAGAATGCACCAGCTGGAAAACGCATGTTCTGCCCACGCGTGTTTCATCCTTGTCCATCTCAAGTTCGATGCAACCTTGGTTTAGATGGCCGGTAAGTCTGAGCCTCCCCTCCCACCCCCACTCTGCAAACGAGGTCCCATCCTGCTCAGTAGGGAAGGCAGGAGATGGGTGGCACCTCCCAGGAGTGCACTGCTGCAGACGTTCATTGAGACAGGGATACTCACAGGAATACACACAATAGCTGGAGGTTTTCTGTCACAGAGACACATTTTTACAATGCTGCTTGACTTCTTTAATTGCATGCAAAGCCCACTCAGGATCAGCTGCGCCCTCACGGTCTCCCCCCACACACACCCCTCCATCTCTCTGTCCTTCTCCCCCCTGCACCTACCGGTCTTTTAAAAGGAGAAAGGAATAGAAAATGCACAGCATGAAACCCAGGCAAAGGACAGCAAAAGCAGCAAGAAGTGTTTTGCCTGGTCTCCTTCGGGCTGGTTCCTTGCCTGGGGGGCACAAAGCACTGCCTGCTCTTTTTTTGTCTGTCGCTCCTGCTCAGCCCTCCATCCCAGCCCTCCAGGCTCTCGCTTTCCCCACCCAAGCCCCTCTTTATGGGCTGCAGAATCCAGAGCCATTTCAAGAGAAAACTTGTTTTTCTAAAAGCAAAATACCCCCTAAACACACCCACTGTTCATTGTACCATTTCAGGCTTTTCTCCTTCACCCACACTCCCGGTTTCCGCCATTCGAATCCCTCCTTCCGAGAAAAAAAGGGGAGACAAGTCTTTAGGAAGCTGGACCGAGGCAGCACAGCATCCTCGGGGCAGGCTGCCATCCTGCAGCCAAACCCGACCAGGCTCCCGGGATGTGATTCCCGGCACTGCTGCAGGAGGGAGGAAGGGCTTCCCTTGCAGCATCTCATTTCACCCAACGCCATCAAAGGGCCGCTCCCCTGTACCATCTTCTAACCAAGAAATGCGAGCTGTGGAAGAAATCCAGGGCTGGGAAGCCCTGAGAATACACAGAAACCCCTCCAGGTCCTTTGGGTTGGCATTTGGGGATTTTATAGGGCATTACTGTCTCTCATCCCTGTCTCCCTTTCCATTACCCATTTAGGCAACACATGATCTCCATAAAACAAAATGTAATTCCTGATTTCTTTACATCCAGCTACACAGCATGCAAATTTTTCTTAGGGGGAAAAAAACCCCCCTGTAACATATTACAAAAACAATATTTAATTGGCATGTAGCAGAATCTTCTAACGGTACAAGGTAACGGTAGCAATATTTTAAATTGGCAAGTTTATCACCTGTCTATTCATATTAAAATAAAAAGCCCACCTGCTATCTTGCATCAGAAGGGTGTGTGTACGGGGGAGGAAGGGGAACAATGCTGCCATACCAGCTGCCTCCTCAGCACAGAACTCCCCTGAAACCCACGGAGTAAAAAAAAAATAATGGGGAAAACCAACCCAAACCTTCAGAATAATGATAAAAAAAATAAAACCCCATGGTTTTAGGAGTGCGTTGATGTCGAGCCGCCCCAGAAGGCGCCTGTCCTACCTGAGACGGTGCTGGCCATGCTGCGGCGGGAGCGGAGCGGGTGCTGCAGGAGCGCAGGAGCTGCGGAGGTGCTGCAATGCTGCGGGGAGGGAGGACTGACTCAGCTGGAGGGGGCTGCAGCCATCCGCGGCGGGGAGAGGCTGGAGCGCCCAGAGAAAGGCGAGGGGTGGAAAGAAAGAGAAGGGTCACTAGTTCAGAATATTAATGAGCGTATCAGGCCTCCTTTCCTGGGTGGCTTTGACGGCAGATCCCTCCCAGGCAAGCCTGGCTGCCAGGAACACAGCCCCACGGGGGAGGGGGGGAGACACACCCAGCCGGGCGCTGGCAAAAGAGGATTTTTCCTCCTCTTCCTCCCTTTCTTGTCTGCTTGAGATGGGCTAAGCTGCTTTTTTTCCCTTGCTGAAAGCAGAGATAAGCAAATTCATTGATTTTTTTAATTTTTTTTAAACCATCTATTCCAAGGCAGCCTCACCTGCAGGGCCAGGTCGGGGGTCAGGCTTAGCTGGGCTGAGATGTAAAACCCAAACCCCAACCCTTGCAGCAGCTTTAGGCAAACAGCAAAGGGAGTAGATATCCCAGACAGGTTTTTAGGCATGGGTTTAGCTTTTTTTTTTGCACCAGCACTGAGGTACTAAAGGAGCTGCAGTTTGGGGAGGAAACTGCTGTAAAAGTAGAGGAGGAAGAGCAGAATGGAGCCTTCTTACTTCAGTGAGAATTCTCCAGGTTTCTCCCCCACCCCAGGCAGCAGGACCTCTCTTCTTGTCATTTGCTCTCTGTTCTCTATCATTTCTTTCATTTCCATTTGTGGCTCTTGTTAGGGGCCAATGCTTCTGTCATTTTAGAGCATCACACACACATCTGGGAGCAGGGAACCCTCCCAAACCCACACATCTCCCAGCACGCTGCAATGCAGACACTCCCAAACAATTCCAGCTGCTGCAGGGAACTACAGGTTGTTGGAGTAGCTGCCAGTGCTATGGCTTGGTCAGGGGCAGAAGCCACAGGCAGTGCCTATTAAATTCAGTTAAAAAACCCAGAGATTTTCTCTTTTTTCCTGATTTTTTTCCCCCCAATCTCCAAGTGTCCTATTCCTTCAGCATTGTATTTAAAAACAAAAACAAAAATTATAGAAAATTAGTCTAATTCAGAATAAAATTAACACTACCCACACATTTTCAAAGCGTGTTTGCAACAGGAGTTTTTTTATGACCTTTAACCGCTTCTTGTTCTGTCCAAGGCTTGTTTTGTAGTTTCAACTCCCTCTACTTTCTCCTTGGATTGAATCTCTAGGACTTTATCTGTTATCTTTGCCATGATCAGAGGAAAGCAGCCCTCCCAGGTACCTGACTGCTGGAATAAATTCCCAGCTCTGTTCAGGATGAGCTCTGGCTTTGATGTACCCAGCAGTCCCAAGAGGGTCTGGCTACCTCTTGTGACATTCTGCATCTTCTGGACATCAATCCTGTACACATTTTATTCCTTTTATTGAAGGAAGGGAAGAGAAGGCTTTCAAGGTGCCATGGCACGTGTCCCACTGGAATACACTGTGTGAGAAATGGGGAACAAATGATTTGGAGGGTCAGGGTGGAAAGCTATTTCCCAACAGTAAAGAGACAGAAAGGCTCTGGATTACCAGGATTTAAAGGAATCAAATAATTTGGGGACAAACAAAAATTTTAGCCTGTTGTTATGGGAACCATCACATCTCAGGACAACGACTGGTAACTTAATCCTCTCCTGTCTGAAAGGATGAAAATAACCTTCATGCCAACCACAGGAGTTTCACAGCAGGTCCTCGTGGCTCTACGAATTCTTTTGTCCCATTCCTGAAGATTCCTGCTCATCTGGAAGCATCTGGATCTCATCTGGGAAGAGAGATCCTGCCTGGGCAGCCTCTGAACAAACAGGAGCATTATTCCTTTTGCATTTCTTAACAGCACAAGTGTCCTCCTTTCCAGGTCTCCATGACATGGTTCAGCTATTTCCCCACAGAGGTTAAGGATCATCTTTTCCAAGGTTTATATTTTGCATATTTTTTTTCCCTGACAATAAAAAATAGTTCAGCCAAGATCTTCCCCATGCACTAATGAGAGGAGAAGGACTGGTTCCCTCTGCCTGAGCTGGCAGGGAGAGGCTGTTCCAGGTGAAGGGCTGGACTGTCACACAACCCACATTTTGCAAACCTCTCCTCCCTCTCCAAACTCCTGCTTTATAAGGACTCAGGGTTTACCCCAGGGAGCCAAACACCAGGATGACGATCCAGTTAAGACAACACCTTTATTTACCATCCCTGTACCCCGACACAGGCGCTGCAGCTCCACCAAACCCTCGCAATCCCTCCGCAACCTGAACAAGAAATAAATGTTTCTCTTTAAAATTACAAACCATTGCCCCCCCCGTTTCCTCTGCTCTGTTTTTAGAAGAACCTGGTGCAGCAGTGTTGGAGGCAGCCTGGCTGCAGCCTGGTCAGGTGGGGTCACTGGTGCAGAGGAGCAGCCCCAGGAGATGCAGAGCCAGCGGGAGCTGAGTCATGTTTGCTGTGGACACGGGCACCTGCTGACTCACACTCCTGCTCTGGGCTGGGAGCCTTTCAGCCCTTCTCTCCCAGCAGGTAACACTGCTGCAACCAACAGCTCTTAAGCAAGGGAAAATAATCTCATCTGGCACACAGTTGACACTGCTCTTCCACGTAGGAAAGATGTGTTTACAGGAAATAACGACGACACGGTATTCCATGTATTTATGAGGAGACCCGAACCTTTATTGTCCCCACAGGTTATCCAACACTCTCATTATTTTACAATCTCTACAAAGTAATTTCTTTTGCAGCTTAACCTTGCATGATTGGTATCACGTTGAAGAGCTCACAGTCAGAAACATGAGCAAAAACAGCTGTTACATTTTGCATGGAGTGCCATGAAGATCCAAAGGAATAACTCCGTGCTCTCCAGCCCATTCTCCATAATTAAAGACAATTTATAATCCAGCCCACTCCCCATAATCAAAGACAGTTTATAATCCAGGGAAGTTCAGCTCATGGAGTTTAAAGGCTGGTGACAAAAACAGCAACACCCATGAGCTCCCCTAACCCAACATCAAGACAGAGAAGGTACCACAATGTTTAATTCACATAAAGTTTTCTGTTCCTTTTAAAATCAGAACTTCTGCACACAAACCAATTGTGCAGCTGGCCAGGGATAGATAATTGTGAAGTTACAACAAAAGAAGACATAGCCTGTTCTACATCTACACAGTGACCATCTGACAGCGTGAGATGCAGCAATAAAGCACAGAGATATCTGTAAAATATTTCATTCCTGCCTTCTCCCTCATGTAACTGCATAAAACGTTTTTTGCAAAATTTGGAGGTCCAGGTAAACCATGCCTTGTTAAAACACCTGAGTCTTAGAAACTGAGCAATCCATCAATCCAGGGCAGTTCGCTGCAATCATACACGTGTGGAACCAACCCTCGGCCTCAGCACCTGGAATGCTGACGGAGCCGTTCCATGAATACACTGACAGGGGGCTGAAGGGTGGGAGGACCGCGCCGAAGAAAAGCTGGGAACAAAGGAGCGGCACGTTCACCCCAAACAAAAGAGACCCGTCAGAATTCATTACTGCTCCTAAGGCAGGAGCCACAAGGCTCGACACAGAGCGGCAGAACCCCTCCCACCCTAAAGGGTTTCACAAAGCCTCCTGCCGTGTTCTGCCCTCTCTTCCCTGCAGCACCGCCCAGCACAAAGCACAGCGGGGTCCTGGACACCGCCCGGCCAAGGGCAGCGCTCATCACACGCTCCCGAGTCCTTAAAAGGGGCAGAAACGCCAGTCCCGGGCGGTCTTGGCGCGGGGCACCCGCACACGGCTGGGAGGCCTTGGAAATGCAGTTTTTAACGACCGGACAGCCGATTTCTGCCTCTTCGGGGCCCCACCTCGGCCAACGCCCCGAGGGAAGCGGCTGCGGGACGCTCCGGCTGAACCACCTGTCGGGGGAGCGGGGCCTGCTTCCTTCAGGTGCGGCAGGGCCCAAACCCCACCGGGCTTGGACCGCTCCTGCCCAGGGCCCCTTAGAGGACACGGCACCAGCCCCCGGGCCGCGCTCACTCCCCGGGCCCGGGATCCCCCGGGACCCGCCCCGGGCCCGAACCCGGGCCCGCCATGGCCGCCGCCTCCCCTGGCCGTTACCGCGGCAACAGCGCCGCTCTCGCGAGAGCCCCCGCCGGAAGTCACGCGCGGAGCGTGAGTGGGGCGGGCACGTGACACGGGCGCGGGGATTGCGAACGGCGGAGCCGGAGGTGCGGGAATAGGGGAATACCGGGACACGGGAATGGGGGAGTGTGGGAATACCGGGACACGGGAATGGGGGAGTGTGGGAATACCGGGACACGGGAATGGGGGAGTGTGGGAATACCGGGACACGGGA